AAATTATTAAATCTGATATATTCTTTTATAAAAGTTGGACAATAAATAAAAAAGTTATTGTAATTTAAACAAAAAATGTGGAATGTCAAATGGGAACAATTGAGCTAGGGGGTGGTGTTCAAGGAAATGGATTGTGAAATGTGCACTCTGTTTTTGGCTGTTGATTTGGCTACCTCTTTAAATAAGAACAATTTGAGTGGGAGGAGAATTGGGAGTCTTTAAAAGATGAAAAGACTTCCACTAGCGACAACATAACATGGTGGGTTGTATCCTTTTCTCCAAAAACAAAACAAAAAGAAAAGAAAACGAAAAAAGGGGATGGCCGGAATCCAAAAGTAATTCGAATAAAAACATATATCCCCTATCCCCACTCACATGTCCTTGCTTGAGATTCCTTGGCATCTTTCCTTTGAGCTTTTGTACAATCTTTTTGGGTTCTATATCTTTTAGTGAGTGGATTTATCCATTAAGAAGGCAAAACAAATTGGAAAAGAGGAGGTAAAGTAAGCCAAAAAAAATGAAAAATGTAAGTATTGATTGCAAGTTTTCTAACACATTACAATGAACAATGCAAGTATTTATACTGTAAGGTAGTATATGATGATGGTGACGTGGTAAGCTCCGGATGTGTTGTAACTTTCAACCATAAAATCTCTCTTATGTCTTAAATGTGTTTCTTGTCATTTCCTTGCTTTCTCACCATTCTTTGCTTGCCTACTTTTAACCTTTTTGTACACAATTTAGACCACTTGGAGTCAGTGGCGGACCCACTAAGGGTCCCACGGGTCTCGGGACCCGTGTACTTCCAAAAAAATATCTATATATTTTATTGTAAATTTATTTATAACTGTATATATAACACAAAAACAAGTATGAGTTCTAAAGAATGGAGCAGAGCAATGGAGGAAAGGCTTTAAAAACCTTTCCTTTTCCCGGAGCTGCAAGGATCGATTCCCTCTCACTCCTATTCCTCTTTATTTTGGTTTATTAATGTAAAAGATCACAACAACATCTTTTCGCCTTTTTTAAAAATCGCCAACTTTACACTTTACATAATTCAATTAATTATTAAAATTTCTATTATGATTTTCCATTATTAAGTGAAGAATTGAATAAAATAATTGGTGAATATGAAATTAATTTGGCTGACAATACACATGATCAACATGTTTATTTTGAATCTTTAGAAGCTTATCCCGGTTTGAGAAAAAAATTGTTGATTTGCATCTTAATGTTCAAGACGAGTTGCGCCATAGTAGGGACTATGAAACTTGTACTACTTTAATATTTGGAATTTTATCCATTCAAAACTTGAAAGGTAGATGAATTATCAATCCGAGACCTGAAAGAAGAAATTTATAGATATAAGACTCAAATGATGAAAATTGTCAATTTAGGACTTGAATGATTGAAGACTATCAATCTCGGACCTATATTGTCATAAATTTTTATTATTTTTATGTTGAAATTATTAAATATTATTTAGTTTTATTAAACTAATAAACTTTTGTGGAAAAAAGTTTATCAAAAATTAGCAAATGAACTATTAAAAAATAAATAAATCAAAATCTATGAAATCTTAGATCCTAGATTGATAATTTTCATCTTTCGGGTCCTATATTAATACATTTCATCTTTCGGGTACCGAATTTATAATTTATCTATCTTTAAGGTCCTGAATTGATAAAATTTCTTAATATTTTGATGATGTACATTAACTATGAAATGTTATGCTACTTTAATATTATATACTTACATTTTTTTAATTTTTTATTCGTTAGAGTTACATTAAGGTAGGGACCCCGTGACTCCGATTTTCTGGGTCCACCACTGCTTGGAGTGGTGTAGGATTAGGAGTCCAAAATGTTAAAAGTGGAAATTTTGGACTCCTAAATCCTTGTTGTGGTTGGCTAAATGGGAGTGTAAAATGGAGAAGGGGATGGAGGGGGTATATTTGAAGGGTGTCAAGGAGGGGGCTAAAAGAAAAAAGGAAGGGGAGTGGGGGCGGCGAGCTTGTGTGCGGTAGAGGGAAAAGGGAAAAGAAAGAAAAAAGAAGAGAAATGACGAATGCAAGGTTGCTTATTTTGTGCAGATGATGTCATGCAAATCTTATTCTTGCATCATAATATCTCAATTTTTTTAAACATATAACTTTTTTATTTTTTCTCCAAATGTTTCATAAAATATACTCCCTCCATTCCTATTATAACTTCCAATTTTCCCTTTTCGTCTGTTTCAATTAAAACTTCTACTTTCCTTTTTTGGTAAAGAATTTGTGGTTCACAACATTTCTTACACATTTCTCTCCTCTGCACAACTCTCCACCACACAATACCCACTATCTTAAATTGTGTGTCAAACCTATTTGGAAGTTATAATAGGAACGTAGGTAGTATCAAAATTCATAAATTTTTATGATCTATCATATGACACCAATATGTAATATATAAAATGAAAAAAAAATCTAAAGTTTTAACTGTTGAAGTTTTTTTGAGCCCAAAAAAAATATGAAACACAAATTTTTAATTAATGGAGCCTTCACAAATAATTGAATACTTCATAATCAAACTTTACTTGAATTAAATTCATTTTTTGTTAACTAGAAAAATGTTAAAAAATTAATAAAATTTATTTATTTTCACGTCGAAATGTATCTTTTTTATTTTATAATTAATCAGAGAAAAAAATTAAAAAAAATTACTTATAATAATTTAATTAATGTTTTAATAAATTGATATGGAAAAATATATGAAGAGTGTATTTTATTGATGGTGCTGGAATGTAGAGAAATAGGAGTCAAAACATTGTTTTTACATTTAGACTCTCACACCACTCCAAATGGTCTTACTATTACTCGTCGCATTTTGGTTGTCTTGCTTTCTTTTTTACTGAAAATGAATGTCTTGTTTCCCCTTTAATATGAAGTTCTGTCCGGCCGTCGCCATTTGGGGTGGTTGCCAGTGAAAATTTTTGTTGAATTTTTGTGAGCATCTTCTTCATTAAGTCTAGTTTACACATACCAAATTTTAGCTAAAAATGCAATCGGGAAGGCAGTCAAATAATTATTTCAAGATAACTGCGCAATTAAATAACGCAATATATTTCAGAAAATCATTTTACTATCTTCCCTGTTGAATTTTTAGCTGAAATTCGGTATGTGTAAACTAGACTTAATGAAGAAGATGCTCAAAAAAATTCATCAAAAAATTTCACCGGAAACCTCCCCAAATAACGACAGTTGGACAGAGCCTCCTATAAAAATTGTAATTTGCACTTTTTCGGTTAGTTCAAGGACTTATTTGCACCTTTTCCCTTCTTTTTTGGCAAGAAACATGTCATCCATATCATTTCATTTTAATTTACTCAAATCTCAACCAGAATTTTTACTTCTTTAACCACTGTATTAATAATTGTACGAAACTAAAGTCTAAAACAAGAAAACCTATATGGAACGGAGGTAGTACATTTGTGCAAATATGGGACGGAGGTAGTAAACTTGTGCGAAAGCCTAATGTGACTGTGAGTAATGTCCCAATCTGGGGAAGTGGGGAGTACTAAGATTTTGTTTGAAACTAGCACAGTACCCGTGCATACGCACGGGAAAAACGGTTGGTCTATATATACTTTTATTCACGATCTAATTAAATATAAAAATAGATTTTTGTATTACAATTTACTTCATTTCAAAAATGGAGTATGATAAGTGAATATAAAAAAGCATAAATCCATACAACAAATATTCAAAGCAAAAGAAAATTAAAACAATACATATGAGAGAAAAAAAATCTTCCGTTGAATTGTTAGCTTCTTATCTTCTTTTACCTAAAAGCACTACGTATGAGGGGCAAAATTCTTCTGGTCAAGTTTTAGCTGACTTATCTTTTTTATATATAAAAGCACTGTGTATGAGGAACAAAATCCTCCGGCTTAAATTTTAGCAAGCTTAATTTGTGCCTAAAAATACTATGTATGAGAGAGAGAAATCGTGTATTCGAGTTTAAGCCGGCTTATCTTCTTTATACCTAAAACCTCTACAAATGAGAGAGAATTTTCCCGCTCAATTGTTTAAGCCGACTTATTTTTTACCTATACTTCTCATACCTAATCTTCTTTATTATTATTATTATTATTATTATACCTAAAAGCATTACGTGTGAGAGAGAAAATTTTCCCGCTCAATTGTTTTAGTCGGCCTATCTTATAATTAAAAGCACTATGTATGAGGAAGAAAATTCATCCGCTCAATTTTTAGCCGGCTTATTAGCTTATCTTATAATCAAAACCACTTTTACGTATGAGAGAGAAAATTCTCCCGTTCAAGTTTTAGCCAGTTTACCTTCTTATATAACTAAAATCACTACGTATGACCGAGAAAATTCTCCCGCTCAATTGTTTTAGCCGAATTATCTCATATACCTAATATTAAAGCACTACGAATGAGAGAGAAACATCTCCCATTGAATTGTTTGACGTCTTGTCTTATACTCCCTCCGGTCCTTAATTAAGTTTACACTTTGACTTCACACATATTAAGGAAATAAATTTGACTTTATTGTACAGTACATTGTTTGGCACTGTTTGGCTGTTTGCTGTAGATTTGTTTGTCAAATAAGGCAAATAGGGAAGTGTAAAGTTTAATATGGGACGACCCAAAAAGGAAAATGTAAAGTTAATTAAGGACCGGAGGGAGTACCTAAAAGTACAACATATGAGACTGAAAATTCTCTTGCTCAAGTTTTAGTCGACTTATCATTTGTTTTTTAAATTTTATATATGCAATATTGATGTCATATGAAAGATCGTAAAAAATTATGAATTTTGATATACTTTTTATAAAAATTAGATAAACGATGAAAATGTTATAACACTTTGAAAAAATTGTGCTTTTTTATGCATTGGGCCCCACAAATTGATGCCACGTTTCATAGTATAAAAGATGAGTGAATTGTGGAGAGAATGACACATGTGTTTCATTAAGGGCATAATTGTATTTTTATGAGCTATTTCTTTTCTTATAGATAAATAGAATAGATATGCGAGTAATACATTATTATGGCTAGCTTATACGAACATTACGAAGTATATTCGAGGCACCATAAGATTACAAACATAAAGGTGTCTTTTACCCATTTTAGGCCAATTTAGGCCTCACAGTACATGGAGAAACACCTTTGAAACAACCAAAGACTCAAAGAGTTAAAGGATGAAAAAACATAACACTCTAACTCTCTAAGAGAACATATATTATATAAACATACGTTCACACTTACAACTAACTGATGCCTAAAATCCTCAGAGAAAAGAAAAAATTAGATTACATTTAATGATACAGATTGGAAGTAATGGGGGGCTAGACTTTTTCAACTCTCATGGACAGTTAGAGTTCCTACCAGGGCCTCCAAAATAGAAATAGTGACCCCAGTCCTCATTCTTGCCTGTCTGGACATCATAGCAGTTTGACTGCTCAGTGAAGGTGCCAAGGCTTTTGGGTGACTTGAGGTTGTTTGAACTGTCAACTATTTGGATGTTCCGAAAATACCCCGCCTTCCCGAATCCTTCTTCTGGGAAATGGCCGCTGCCCATTTGGGTTGAGGTGTGCAAGCCGTCAGGCTGCGTGTTCACCACCTCCCCACCCCATTCGATCATGCTCGCACTGTCAGCCAAGTATGAGAATAAGAAGGATGGCCAGTATCCAAGAACTGTGTCACTCCCAAACTGCATCCACCAATTTCCTTGACTCGGATCCTACAACAAAACCCAAACACTTACTTGTCTGTATCATCCCCATCCACCCAAACCTTGTATCAAAAGGTTATTTATTTAAAGGGAATTTAACTTTGATTTCTTTCTTTTTGGACGCAATGATGAGTGTAATTGGCACTTTTACACCTTACTTTAAGAATAATATTATTCTCTACTTTTTTCCAAAATATTTCCTTAGTAATAGAGGCCGGCACTCATTTAAACGGGTTTAAATTCATATTATATGACAGGTTTTACGAAGACAAATTATCTACACAGTTACTCTTATGGGGGATGAAAGAAAATGACACTATTGTCTTTATCCCCACTTTAAGATATTATTGTTGTTGTTAATTTTTCTTTTATTTCTTTATATATGTATATAATATAGAAAAATGCTAGAAGTACAAACACACTTACAAAAAAACTTACAAACAAGTGATGTGGCTATTCTAATTACCGTTGATGTAAAAGTGTTGTAAATGTGATGTGTTAAATAATGTGATGATGCCACATACCCCTTTTGTAAGACTTTTTGTAAAAGTTTTTGTACCTCTAGCATTATCAATTTATTCTTTTTTATTCAACTAAGTGAACCAACTCAATCACAATTTCAACTACAACCACTTTGTGATAAATCAACAAAAGGTTAAACTCCAACCACTTCCTGAAACATCAACAAGGAGTAATGCAATTTCAGCAGAATATTAAAGATTACTCAACTGTTATTTGAAAAGCAACAACTTTTTCAAGACTGACTCAATCAATGTACTATTGGCAGTTAAAAGCTGAGATTTTGAAAGATTTCAGACGCTAAAGATGCTCATAATGATTCAACATTCGAATAAAAATCAGTTTCTGCATTGAAGTTTTTATTCCATTAAAAGTATCATGCTAAGGTACTTAAAATATGGGTCATCACTGTACCCTTTCTAATATATATTGGGAAAATATCATTAACATCCACTCATATATATTGCAATATCACTTGCACCCCACCAATTTCAGAAACAAGCACTCTGCTCCCTGAGGTAATACAATTTAACAGTAACTCATACAAACTACATAATTTAGGGTAAATTAAGCTAAAAATCAAGATTTTTTTACACATTTAATGTCTTAATACTTTATGTTAAGAGTCACTTTCATATCATTGAATAGTAATATATTAACAAGAATAATTTGGTACTTTAATAAGAGAAAGACAGATGATTCTAAATGATATTACAACAAGTCTGGGACAAGATCAATGATATTTCCCCTAAAATATATAAAACATCATTTACTTTATCAGCTTGGTCTAATTAATTTGGAACTTACCTTCCAGATAAGAATATTGATATCATACTGTGAATTTCGATATGCAGAAACAGGAGAGATGCTTGCACCCATTGCTATTTGACTGTTGACCTGAATGAATCCCGAGCAGAGAAGGTTGTAACAACCTGTGGCTTGGTATGCGTCACTCTACAAGAAATTTTGAATTTTCATCATCAGTAAAGACGATACATATCAAGAAGCATAAAATGAATTGTTTCTTAAAAGATAGGGTAATTTAAGTCTACAGGTGTCATTGGTTTACTTACTGTCCAGTAAGTGAACAGCCGTGTGTTATTGTCACCATACAAATCTGGGCTGACCTGAGATTACACAAGCTCTCCCGTTAGACTCAGTTACAACAGAAAGACATCCTCACTCCCGCAAAAAAATGTATTCTCTTTTAATTTTTAATGTCCCAAAAAAGATACAGAGTACATTTTTAACCAATAAAGGTATTCTTGATTTTGTATTTCTATAAATATGTTCAAAACACTTAAGTACGTCAAATATAGTCAAATCAATAAAAAAATTAAAACATAGCTCAAACTAAAGATTTCTGATAGCTGTAATTTACTTATTTACTATGGTTAAAATATTGCAGTCCAATATGAATCATTTGTTTGGAGTTACTCCCCAAACCATTCAAATAGAATCAAGAGGATAAGGTTTATCCACGGATTTCATTTGGATGGTTGGAGGTTATTCCTTCTATCACCAAAATACAAACTTCGCGATTAGGTCAATAACAAAGCAAATAATTGAACTTTTGGTGCATTTTATTGCAAATTGTTGCATCATTAGATCATCTTTAACCCTTCAACAAGTTCTACAGTAAAATAGCATAAGTGTCACATCAACCAGTAATTCATCATTTTCACCAATGGTTTACTGTGGTGTTTTCAACAAACAAACTTATGCATAATATATTGAGAAATTGCTCAAATATGACTAAAATGTAGACAAAGTGCACACTGACACACAGTACCAGTACATATTGATAATTTGATATTTAGTTATAAATTACCACACATTTGGGGATGGAACCAAACCTGCCAACCAGCCTCAATGCTGTTAAGGTCTTGTCCAAAAGAACCACCAAGAACCCAGATCTGGGATAAGCTGAACTCATTAGACTGCTGTATTTTGGGTTCCCAAACATTAATGATCGCCTTTGCTCCATAATACCTCTCCCCCTGTACATAACCTATTGCATGCTGGTTCCACCATCATCAACACAATTCAGATAGAGTCAGAGTGTCAGACTCTTCATTGAAATTGACATATAAGCTCAAATCACAGTACATTGTAGCAACAATTAAGAGTACATTTGAGAGATGGATTTAGGAGGCTTTTGTTAATCATTTTTAGCTCTGATTTCATATGTTCATTCATGTTACCCAACCCCAGACTTTTTTGGGATCAAGGCTTTGATGTTGTTGTTGTACTTATTTATCTATTTATAATTTAATGGGTCCATTTGAAGAAAACAACGGCTTATTCTATTTTTATGAATAAGCAGTAGCATTTGACTTGCTTATTTGGCTGATAGAGATTTTGCAAAGTGCTTTTCCTTTATGAAAAATCAGCAACAACGCTTTCGAAGTGAACTACATATCATTTACTTTGAAGAATTAGCAAGTGAAAAAAAATGAAAATTAATCTTTCCCTACCCCTCTAAAATGCAAGCCACAACAAATCCCAAAGTGAAATCTCTAGTACCTGATGACCACTTTCAGTGACAATGCCAGGATCTGTACCGCTGGGCTTAGGATAGCTCTTGTGCTTCTTCTTCCCATATTTCTTTACAGAACTTGCCCTTGCTACATCCTCTCTCTTTGTCCTCCTTATAGGGATTGTGTCCTCAGGACAATGTCCATTCGTGTGCCATAGCTGAGTTATTGGATTTGTTCCTTGTTTTGTCCCAACAAAAGATTCCTTCTCCAAATCATAGAGGCCTTCTGGGTGGTAGTCTGGCCTCATCTGTTAATATTCGTTATTATTATTATTAAATTACATTCAATAGAACCGGTATAGCCACTTGAACCCTTGTGGAAGATAGATTAAAAGGAGGCAGATGAGTGGAGCTGAAAAAGAAAGAAAGAAGGAGAAGAAGAATGAACAGACCTGGATCTTGTGGTCTTTGAGAAAAGGGTGGTCAAAAGCAGGCTGTTTGGAGATGTGCACACAATCAATGATATCCCCATCCGGACTCTATCCAATAATAATTACAACAAGAAGAAGGGATATAAACAAAGAAACATGTATAAAAACCAAAACTTTATCAGAGGAAAGTGAAAATGCAGAGAGAAAGGGTACATCATCCACTCAAAACCAAAAAGAAAAATAGTGTGAATGTAAACCTCAATGCTTTTGACGGGAGATTTGTTTAGCCTTTTCAAGTGGTTATGTACATGAAGCTCACGCCGGGAGGCTGGGAGGCGGGAGGAGAAAGAGAGAGAAGCGCAGAGAGAGAGGAAGAGCAGAGGTAATGCGAGTGGGTGTTTCCTCCTCCTGCGGCTGCTGCTAAAAAGCGCGGAACCCACCATTCGCACCAAGCTTGAGTGCAATAATGCGAAACCCAGTTCAAGAACGAGATGCGCTACGCCACTTGAACCGCCGGCGCTCCGTCACCGGTCTTATCCAACTAAAAAACAGCCAAAACGTTTCTGGCCTTGTCCTCCTCGGGATAATAATAATTAGAGAGGGACTACACTGAGTGAAGGGAGAAGAGGGGTCTCTCTCTATTTTCTGGTGCTTGTTGTATTTGAAAAGAAAAAAATAGATAGATCCAGGGCAGGGCAGGGGTGATTTTGTCGTTTTATCTTCACAGTTATTCATGCATGTGGGGGGGGGGGGGGGGTCCGTTTTTTACCGTAGACGTTTAAATTAGGATTAGGATTGGGATCCGATGTAGTGTAGGCATAAAGAACGAACGTCATTTTGGCTGGCGAAATTATTTAATTAATTAATCCTAAATAAATCAAACCGGCTCTATTTTTATTTTTGAATTCATCAATCACCTGACCAGTGACCACCACAACATTTTGACTAGGGATGGGCATAAAACCCGAACCGAACCGGTACCGAACCGTTCTGTAATGCTATCGAACCGAATAATGGGTATTTAAATGTTTCTATAGATTTTTATCCCGAACCGAAATCTTACCGTTTGAAACAGATACGGGATTGGTCCTAAATTTTGAGAACCGAAAAATACCGGATCGAACCGTTCGAAAATAATGCATTTGAATTTTTTATATTTTTTCTATACCAATAAATTTCTTATATAGACCAACAATTTTATACCCCAAGTATGTATTCATGTGTCCCTAAGATATCTAAATTTGTGTGTGTGTGTGTATATTGTTATTTTTTCTTTTTAGATAATTTATGTTAAATTTGTGTGTGTATATGTTATATCGAAAGAATATTAAAATGTTAGAAATCATTAATGACTATTCATTTGTAGTAATGTAGTGTACATGACTTTTTGTTGTATCATGTTTGTGCAATTTTTACAACTTAATTAATATGGTTTAAATCTTAGTTTTCAAGGTTCAACTATAAATTAAATTAGAACTACGAATTAATATTTAACATAGAATGAAGAAGAAGAACGTTGAAGATTTCTATTATATTCAACAATTTGATGATATTTGTTTTTATATTTTCACATTAACTTAGTAAATTAAAGATGATATTTATCTCGTGCGTCATCGTTTTGCTATACTTTTTCTTAGTTGTGTTGCACTATTTAAGTATTTGTGAATTTTAATACTATGTATGCAATTTTTTGTATTTATTTCAACCTTTCATGTGAGTTGGTTGGTGTAACGATATCTACTAATTGCAAGATTTGTTCAAAATTTTTAGCATGAGTTTGGCATTGTATCGTACCATTTTGTACCGTTCCGAAATGACATAGTACCGAGCGGTTCTATCCTTGAAACCGGACCGTTTAAAACCTCACGGATACATTATGGGTTTTAACAATTTATCGGACCGTTCCGGACCACGCACACCCCTAATTTTGAAAATCCTCATGTTGCCACTGACACAATTAATACGAGTATATGTGATCGCACATCTCTCGTACTAAGTACTAACCAAACATGCCTATCAATCATTTAAAGAAAAAATTATGGATTTTTCGACTATTTTTCTTGAGCAGTCTTTAACCTGGTATATCAAGTCAATTTTAAATGTAAATTATGCATAAATTATAAATAATTTCAATTATAGTCGATTTTTCTTATTAATCACAATCATCAATTCTTAATTTTCCAAATATATAGAAATATTTTTAAGAATTAAAAAATAATTACAAAATTCTACAAATGTACTGAACGTAAATAAAAAAATTTAGCCATTTTTTATTTATTTTCAATAAAATTTTCATTTTTTTCTTTTTCCAATTTACTTTCCGCAGTTGTGTTACCAATTTATGATTTTGTGTGATTTTCCTTTATTGAAATTTGTATTTTCTACCAATGTAAAAATGTGAATAGCTTAAGTATTTTTAAATCCACACTTTTTCTACCAAAATAGTTGAGATTATTATTACCATTGTGATATACTTTTTCAATATTTTTTACAATTTTCATTATATCACTTAAAATTATAATATTAATACATTTTCATTAAAAAAAGTTCAAAACCTCCAAAACATATACCCCAAATCACTAAAACGATAAACTATAAAATATAATTTAAATAATATAATAATATAAACTAAAGAAAATAGAAAGAAACTATAAATACTAAAATGGTAACAATAGAAAATTTAGATTTTTAGAATTAAGATAGCATAAAAAATAAATAAAATATAATCATTTTTTACTTTTAAAAATAGAAAATATAAATTTGAATAAAGAAAAATAATACAAAATCATAAATTGGTAACACAACTTGGAAAAACAAATTGGAAAAAAAGGAAAAAATAAAAATTTAGTGAAAATAAATCGAAAAATGACTACAAATATTTGTGAAAAAACAAATGGAGGCATTAAGGATCCTCGAATCCATTGCTTCAAACCCTCAATTACAAGGAGGAGATATCAAAGTGGCCGGTGTGAGTGAAGTGTCTATAGCTCATGAATTGGACAAACGGATTGCTGATTTTCAACAAGCCATGCACAAAGATCTTCAAGCTTCAATTCACACGGCTCTACAAGCCGTGATCGGAGGGGCTAATCAAGTGGCCAATGTGGAGAGTATACCACAACCGGAAGGTAATTCACCTCAAACTATTGAAGATTTGAATTATATGAATTCATATGGGAGTAGGGGGAATCAAGGAGGCAACAACTATTCCAACAATCAACCAAGGTTTAACCAAGGTAATTCTTGGAAACCACAAGGAGGTCCGTCTAACCCCCCGTTCGTATTTTCACAAGGGCAAACCATGGAGGAAATGATGAAATCCCTCACTCAAAATGTTGTGGCTAGTGTAAAGGCCCAAAATGAGGAGATTCATAGTAGAGTGGAGGCATCCATTGGGAATCTACATTCATAATTCACAAAGCTTGACCTCCGGTTTGAAGATCAAAACCGGAAACTTCACCAATGCATGGACAACATAGAACAATACACCAAGTCATATATTCACAACTTGGAGGTACAAATTGGGCAAATTGCCCAAGGAAAAAGCACTAGAGAGCAAGGGCGGTTCCCCACAACAACGGAAGTCAACCCAAAAGAAAATGTCATGGCCATAACAACAAGAAGTGGCAAACAAACAGAGGATCCTAAATCGCCGGAGAATGCACCAATATCACAAGAGGAGGAAGGGTTGGAGGAACATATATCACCACCTCCAACAATGGCAAATTATGTTTCTCCTATCCCATATCCACAAAGGTTGAGGAAGAAGGATGATGGTAAACAATACAAGAAGTTTCTTGATATTTTTACCAAGCTAAGCATCAACATACCATTCACGGAGGCTATTGCGGAAATTCCTTCTTATGCCAAATTTCTAAAGGGGATTCTCTCAAACAAGAAGAAACTAGCGGACTTTGCAACCGTGGCACTAACGGAGGAGTGTAGTGCAATCCTTCAAAATAAGCTCCCTCCAAAATTGAAGGATCCCGGAAGCTTCACCGTCCCATGTTCTATTGGCAAAATTGGAGAGGTAAAATCTCTTTGTGATCTCGGAACTAGTATAAATCTTATGCCTCATTCTCTGTTTAAAAAGCTTGATGTGGGGGAACTTCAGTCTACAACGGTTGCTCTTCAGTTGGAGGATAGAACAATCCGTTATCCATTGGGTGTTATGGAGGATGTTCTAGTCAAAGTGGGAAAATTCTATTTTCCGGTAGATTTTCTTATTTTGGAAATGGAAGAAATGGAAATTCCAATTATTCTTGGAAGATCATTCTTAGCTACCACTGCCGCCCTCATTGATGTGAAGAACGGAGTTGTTAAATTCCGGGTGGGAGAAGATGAACAAGAATTCCATGTTTGGGATTCATTAAAGAAACATCATGATATCTCCTCGTGTTTTAGTATTGACATCGTTGATACTATAACTCAGGAGATGTTTGAAAGAGAGCTTCACAAAGATCCTCTTGAAGCATGTCTTACACTAGGACACACCGAAGAAGAGAAAAATTCTGAAATTTTCCAACAAATGATGTTCTTGCAAGGTGAAACCATTCATAGACCTTACCGGCAAAGATTTGAAGATCTTGGGCAAAGGAAGTCTATCCTCCAACCATCAAGTCAAACTCCTCCAAAGCCTACTCTCAAACCTCTACCAGTACATCTCAAATATGCATTCCTTGGCAATGACTCTACGTATCCGGGGGTAATTTCCTCTACTCTTTCTCCTTTACAAGAAGAGAAATTACTCCGGGTATTGAGAGCTCACACATCATCAATAGCTTGGTCTTTGGCGGATATCAAGGGTATAAGCCCATCTCTATGCATGCATCGGATCCTCATGGAGGAAAATCACAAACCAACGGTAGAACATCAAAGGAGGCTCAATCCAAATATGAAGGAGGTGGTCAAGGAGGAAGTTCTCAAACTCCTTGACTATGGTATCATCTATCCCATATCCGATAGTAACTATGTGAGTCCCGTGCAAGTAGTCCCGAAGAAAGGAGGAATCACCGTCATATCCAATAGTAAGAATGAATTAATTCCTACTAGAATGGTTACCGGGTGGAGGATGTGCATTGACTACCGAAAACTGAATGCCGGCACAAGAAAAGATCATTTCTCCCTACCATTCATGGATGAGATGCTAGAGAGAGTAGCCGGTCATGAATTCTATTGCTTCTTGGATGGGTTCTCGGGCTATTTTCAAATAGCTATTTCACCCGAAGATCAAGAGAAAACTACCTTTACTTGTCCTTTTGGGACATTTGCTTACCGTAGGATGCCGTTTGGACTTTGCAATGCACCGGGGACCTTTCAAAGGTGCGTCATGGCTATTTTTTCGGATATGGTGGGAGATTTTATGGAGGTATTTATGGATGATTTTTCAGTCTTTGGAAACTCATTTGATATATGCCTAAATAATCTTGAAAAAGTGCTCATCCGATGTGAAGAAACCCATCTTGCTCTTAATTGGGAGAAATGTCACTTTATGGTAACCGAAGGCATTGTCTTGGGGCATAAAATATCCCCTCAAGGCATTGAAGTTGATCAAGCTAAAGTGGAGGTTATTGAAAAATTGCCACCTCCTCATTCGGTAAAAGCCATTAGAAGTTTCTTGGGGCATGCCGGTTTTTACCGGCGATTCATCAAAGATTTCTCAAAAATCGCAAAACCACTTTGCGATTTACTTGCCAAGGATACCACTTTTGATTTCTCTAAATCT